GACTCCCGCCGACCGCCGCCCAATTTGGCTCTCAATCTCGCAGACGCTTAAATTGGCAGCTTTCATTTTTCATGTGCCGTCCCTTGTACAGCCATTCACCCACGCGGAAGTGGCGTGGCGCGGCGTGGCGGGGCGTGGCGGGGCCGTGCTGTATGTATAGTCCACGGCACGTATAAATATGTAACGAGTCGACTTGCTGCGAGAAAACATCCCTGCCAACCGTGCATGCCCTCCCCCTCCCCCTCACAGCCCTTTATTACTTCGGGGACCTCTTTATTGTGTTTTTCCTACGGGGCCCATCCCCGGGCAGGCCAAGGCCCCCGTCCGAGAGCATCCGCCTCCCCGGCCGTCCGGAGCCAGCTGCCCAAAAAGCGGCCCTGGATTCACTTGACGACTCCCGTCTTGCTTGCGGCCGCCCGACCCCCGGGAGGTAGGCAACCCATTCTACTTCCACGCCGGCTGGGCGGACGGCGACCCCGGGCGTTTGGGGTGGGGGTCGACGCTCCACAACAACAACAACAACAACAACAACAGAAAAATAAATTCAACGGCGCTTGTCGTACACAAGGCAAGTGTCCTCTCCACCCGGCTGGGTCGGGCCGGGCCTCCAGTCTCTTGTTCGAGCCCCGTCTCCGATTAACCGAGGCAACCGCCTTTTTAACGCGGGCTGCATATTAAACTCTGCGGCCTTATAAATAACTCTCGAAAGGATTCTCCTCCAGCGCCGCCGGCGCCGCCAGGGCCAGGACCTGGACCCCCCGCTGCCATGTTCATTCCTCGCAGGCATTCTTTCCCCGCAGCCCTTCCTGCTAATCTCAGTTCCAGGCTCAGTTCCAGGCCGCCCCCGCACCGGTGTTTGCTTTTAATAAGGAATCCACGTGCGTGTCATCAGGGTGCATAATGCAGGTATGCACGGCTAATTAGTGGATGTTTGCGTGTGTGTGCGTGAGAGGCTGCGTGTGTGTGTGCTGCGGCTGAGAGGGGGTGGGGGATGTTTGCACTGCGTTTGGAAGAGAGCGGGAATTGGAGCAGAAGCTTCCCCGTTGGCGGCCTGGCCCCCGCCAGGCCCGGCCGGACTTGTGACCCCAAACAACACACGCACACCTCTTCGGCCCCGCTGCCGGTTGGCCGATGGCGAGGCGGTGGCTCCTGGCTCCTCTCTTGATTGGCTCTTTCTCTTTGTCCGACTGCGCCGCGCCGCCACTGCGAACGACAAACTACCCCGAACTAGCTGGCCGTGCCGTGCCGTGCCGTGCCGCGCCGCCGTGTTCGCTGCGAGGCACGTCGTCGACGCCAACTAGGCCGTCTTGAGGGAGACTTGGCCGTCCAGGTGCGCGGCCTTGGGCAGCGCGGCAGCAGCGGCACGTACTAGTGTGGCGTGGCGTGGAGTTCGACGGAGCACTTTCTGCCCTTGTTTGTAGTGTACTCGTTACAGCCGGCAGTCCTTGCTTGGTGCATGCATCACCTCCTGGCTTACAGTGGCGTGTTTGCGCGACGCACAGCGCCGCACAGCGGGCTGGCCAAAACGCCACGCACCGCGTCTCGCCCCGCCGCGCCCCGCCGCGCCCCGCGGCACCCCTCGGGGGGCCTCGCTGCTCCACCCCGACGGGGCACCGTTGCAAACAAGCCGCTACTTGAGCCTCCACCGACGTATTCCGTGCTGCCTGTGAGTCTCTCTCTCCCTCTCCCTCTCTCTCTCCCTTGCGCCCGTCTCATCCCCGTCTGTCTCGCTTCCTCTGGCTGCCTCCCTCCGAACAAACACACACACTTACACACACACACACACACACAAACACACACACACACACCGACAAGCGAGCACCTACGCACGCATAGACACCCAACAACACGCCCGCACGCACACACACGCACTCGCCGAGTCGCGGCCCCACACCCCTTACGCCCTGATTAAATTAAACACACCACACCGCCACTCGTACGGCGGCCTGGCGAGGCGGGGCGGCGCTACTGCTGGCACACGCACTGCCGGGGCGCGGCGGCGCGGCGCGGACCACTCGAGAGACGCGGCGCGCGGGTGGGGCGTGCAAAACGCCGCAACTCGGTCCGCGGCGCGCGTTCGGCGCGGGGCTCGCCTCGGTTACCGCGTTGCGCGCGGCACGATGTCGCCGCCGAGCCGCGCCCCGCGAGTCGCGGAGTCGGGGAGTCCGCCAGACTATCACGGCACTAATTATTTGAGCGTGTCTTCGCATTCATGGGACTCGCGGAGCGCGAGCGGGACGCGCCGCTGGCGCCGCGCCACCCGCGACAGCGCGAGCGACGCCCCTTTCAGAGCGACTCGAGCGGCGTGGCGGGGCGGGGCGGGGCGGGGCGGGGCGGGGCGCGAGACAGAGCGATGCAGTGTCTGGAATGCGTTGGAGCGGGTGGAAGGGCGCCCATCCACCCCGCCAACAGGTAAAAGGGCGAAAAAGGGAGCGGGCCGCGTCCCAATTAGCACACGGGTGGAGGCACCCGCTCGGGCTGCAAGCGCTCGCACCCGCGGCGGCTGGTGGCCCGGTGCAGCCCGGTGGCTCCAGCGACGGCCATGTTCTTCTTCCCCTTTGCTCATCGTCCCCACCCCGGTGCCGCCCCCGCCACCCCCCGCGCCGGGCCGCTCTGTGCTGTTTGATTAAACTGGTCAACAATTCATGAGATTTATTCTGCAGTGCCACTGGCGACCTCCAGGGGAAACGCGCACGGCGACGGATCATACTGGCGCGGCGGCAGCAGCAGAGGACAAGCCGCAATCCGTGCGACAACCCCCTCGGCGTGCTGTACACTGTACGCCGCGCCACCCCTTCCACCGCCACCGGGCGGGGCGGGGCGGCACACGCGTAGTCACGTGGAGCAATCTCATCACAGCTCTCTATTTACTCATTTACCGCCCCTTGTTTCCAGGTTGCGGCCGCCGGGCCCTCCAGGCAGACCCGTGCCGCTCCAGTGCCGCTCCAGGCGGGCTCCAGGCGGGCTCCAGGCTCCACGACACGAAAACAAGCAGCCGGTCTCGGGGCCACGACGGTGAGGCGCCCCGCCTCAAGTGGATGGCAGCTTTCAACTTTATTTGCAGTGTTCCAGCAGTGGTGTCGGATGGGATGCCTACCTCCCCGGCGCGTCTTCCAGCCACCCTTGCCGACAGTTCCGGCCCGGCACCAGTTCGGTTTCGGCTTCCCCGTTTTATTTTCCTTTTTCTATACGAAACCGTCGTCGGGCAGACTGAAACGTAGACTTCGCCAAAATATTCAAATCTAGCCAAACTTCTCACGGCGGTTCTCTTGCTCTTCGACATAAGTACGGGCGGCCGAGGAGGGCTGGCCGCCAGGGCCGCCAGGGCCCGGAGTGCCTCCTGCCCGCCATCAGTCTATCGGGGGCTGCATTATTTAGGCCAGCGGCCCAGTGCAGCCAGCGCCCCCTCTCCGCCCCCAGAAAAGTCGTCCAAAGCATCCTTTATGACCGGGCAGGCAGTCACGCCACCGCTCCCTGGGCAGCGAGAGAAAACAAACGCAAATTGACCAATTCCGTTGACATGCCACCCCTTCCCCCTTTCCCTCGGCCTTCGCTCTTCGCTCGCGACGCCGGCATTACCTCCGTGGCTCACGAAGGGCCGAAGGGCGAGCGGGGAAGCGCAGCGACGGCGGGACTCGAACCCGGGCCGTGCCGCCCCACGCGGTGCCGCGGTGGTGTGAGCGGAGCGCGTCGGCGAGTGCGGCAGTGCGCCGGGCGGGTAGGCAAACCATTTGGCACCGCGGCTGCGGCGCTGCCGATGCTCGAATGGGCGGGCGCTCCCCAGCGCGGCGGCTGCCGGCGTGCGCGCCTTGGGGCCCAGGACCTCTACGTACCTGCATACCTTTCCTCGGGCAGACCAGTGAAACTACGGCATCGATGGCTCGAAAGTTGCTGAAAGTGACACGATTACGAGAGCTCAAGTCGGCCGTGTTGAACACCATCCTCAGGTCATGAGCGCCAGCCTGCTGAAAATTGGCGGTGCTGTTGTGTTCTCCCCGAGGAGCGCAGCCAGCGAGCCAGCGCGCCCAGTGCCTGCACGGTGCTGCCCCTGGCGGCGGCCGCGCCAAGCAGCGCCGCCACGCGCCGCCACCGCCCTGCCTGGCCGCGCCGCGCTGTTGTTGTCAGTCGCGCCGAGTCCGCCGCCGAGGCTGGAACTGGAAGGTGGGAGGCACTTGGAGGACCGCCCGCGGCGCCGCGGCCGCGCGACCTCACACACGTCCCAGACCAAAATGGGCCAAAAATAAAACGATGAACACAAACACCCCCACAACCACACTCGGACCCGAACACAGAGGCGGCTCTCGGGAGTCCGAAACCCGGGCGGGACGGCCCGCCGCCTGGTGCGCGTCGAACGCCCCCTACTCCAGCAGCACGAGCAGCACGGCCCGCTGCCGAAAGGGCCGCGCCGCCGCGCCGCGCGGATGTCGCCGGTGATTTGTGGACGAATAGAAAATTGAAAAATACGGAGACGAGAGCAGGAAGGGGGGCCGCTGGCGCCGCTGGCGGGAAGTGCACTGGAGGGAAATCACCGCCTCTCCACACACGGTGCGCTGCTTGCGCTGCGCGGCGTGCGCGCTGCCGGCCGGGACAAGGGAAAACTTTTCTCGCGCTAATTAGAGTGTGTGTCGCGACACCAGAGGCCATAGGCCGAATCCTGTAAGTGTCCGGAGCAACTAGAGTAGCAGGAATGCCTGCCTGCCCGCCTGTCGCCGAGAGATTTTTTCCTCGTCCAGCAGAAGCAGTTGTCCGGGGCAGGCGCGGCTATCCAGAGCGGCACGGCGGCATCGCCACCAGATCGTCCCTGCCGCCCCGCCCCGCGCCGCGCCGCCTTGCGGGACCGTTAAGGTGGGGGAGCCTCGCTGGCTGCACAGTGCTGCGCTCTGGCGGGCGACGCGCGCGGCCCGGGTGGTGGGGCGGGGCGGGCGGGGGGCGGGGCGCGGGGACGGCCGGCGGCGCGGGCCCGGCTTGCTCCGGCACGGCACGGACAGTCGACAGAAGGAAGCGAGAGGGAGCAGACGCACGGCTCCCGCTGGTCCTGCTCTCGCCGAGGCCGCTTTACGCGATACGAACGCAAATCGTACAAGTCGGGAGTGAAGTGTTTCCACTGGATAACCCGAACCCCTGGATAACGCGCAACGGACTGTGTGACCCGGCGGCGTGTCTGGATTTTTCTCCGCCTGCCTTCCTTCAATTTGGATTTTTCGCGAAAAAGTTGGATTTTCGCGCCGGACTTGTGATTTTTTCATCGTGTGACACTCACTGTGGATTAAAGTGATACCAGTGCTCCGAAAAATGGAATTAGTGCCCGGATTAAGTGCTGTGGATTTCTCCGAAAGTTTATTTCGCAGAAATTAAGTTTGTGGATACTCGACATGGTGAAATGAAGAAATTGTGCATTCAGTTCTTAGACGAAATTACCCGTCGTAACGGATACACAAAGTGCTAAAAGTGCCATGTAACGAGTACAATCAAGTTTTCGTGTGCTTTAGTTTATTTTTTTGATTTTCAATTTTTTTAAATTTCCCCTTTTCCTCTCTTGTGACCAAAGAGTGCGAAAAGTGCGAGTGTTTGTGAAAGTATCACGACCGGCAACGACTTTGTGAGTGAAATGCAGCAGAGAGCGCTGTGTTCATCAGTCTGACCGTCAAGATGGGCTACGCTGGCTTCGCTATGAGCGCGTGCAGCGCGTGCACACTGCTGGCCGGTGTCCTGCTCGTGCTGGCCGCCCGGCCCGGCCTGGCCCGCCTGGACACCCCCGACGACTGCGCCTGGGCCGCCGACAACTCGTCCAAGGGCGTGGTGTCGTGCCGCGTGCGCAAGCTGGACGGCGAGGCCACCAACCTGAGCGCGCTGCAGCCCGAGTCCACGTCGCGGCTGCACGTGCACTGCAGCGACGTGCTGCTCTTCGAGTCCTCCGTGCCGCCGCACTTCTTCCAGCGGCTCGGCCAGCTGGAGGAGCTCACGGTGGACAACTGCAAGATTCTGGAACTCCCCGGCGAGGCGTTCGAAGGCCTGGTCGCGCTCAAGCACTTGTCCATCTCGACCCACAACGTGGAGTGGGGCTCCGGCAAGACGCTGGAGCTGGACTCGGGCAGCTTGAGCGGGCTGCGCGAGCTGCAGGTGCTGGACTTGGTGCACAACAACATCCGCCAGCTGCCCGACGACGCCTTCTGCTCCCTGGCCAACCTGCAGACGCTCAACTTGTCCAGGAACCACCTGACCGACGTCGACAAGCTGGGCTTCGCGGCGCGCCGCCTGGGCAACCCGGCCGTCGGCAACCTGGACTGCAACGGCGGCGCGGAGGTGCGCGCGCTGGACCTGTCCTTCAACCACATCCCCGCCATCGGCGACAACTCCGGGCTGTCGCGCCTGCGCCGGCTGCAGCACTTGCACCTGCAGCACAACGTCCTCACCAACATCCACGGCGACGCGTTCAAGGGCCTGACCGCCCTCAAGGTGGTCAACATGTCCTACAACCGCCTGTCGTCCATCAACGAGGGCCTGTTCGCGTCGTCCCGCGAGCTGAGCGAGGTGTACCTGCAAAACAACTCCCTGCACGAGCTGCCCCGCGGCCTCTTCCACCGCCTGGAGCAGCTCATCGTGCTGGACTTGTCGCGCAATCAGCTGACCAGCGCCGCCGTCAACGAGAGCACCTTCGCCGGCCTCATCCGCCTCATCGTGCTCAACCTGGCGCACAACTCGCTGACCCGCCTCGACGACAAGGTGTTCAAGGAGCTGTACTTCCTGCAGATCCTGGACCTGCGCAACAACTCCATCAACCACATCGCGGACAACACGTTCGTGTCGCTGTACAACTTGCACACGCTCAACCTGGCCGAGAACCGCCTGCACACCATCACCGCGCAGATGTTCAACGGCCTGTTCGTGCTGAGCAAGCTCACGCTCAACAACAACCTGGTCGTGAACATCGACCCGGTCGCGTTCCGCAACTGTTCCGACCTCAAGGACTTGGACTTGAGTTCGAACGCGCTGACGGCGGTGCCGGAGGCCCTGCACGAGCTGTCCTTCCTCAAGACGCTCGACCTGGGCGAGAACCAGATCACGTCCTTCAAGAACGGCTCGTTCCGCGGGCTGTCCCAGCTCAACGGGCTGCGCCTCATCGACAACCAGATCGGCAACCTGAGCAAGGGGATGTTCTGGGACCTGGACAGCCTGCAGGTGCTCAACCTGGCCAAGAACAAGATCCAGTCCATCGAGAGGGGCACCTTCGACCGCAACCTGCAGATCGAGGCCATCCGCCTGGACGGCAACTACCTCACCGACATCAACGGGGTGTTCTTGACCTTGGCCAGCTTGCTGTGGCTCAATCTGAGTGATAACCACCTCGTTTGGTTCGACTACGCGTTTGTGCCGCCCAACCTCAAGTGGCTGGACATTCACGGCAACTACATCGAGAAGCTGGGCAACTACTACGAGCTGCAGGACGAGCTGCACATCAAGACCCTGGACGCGAGCCACAACCGCATCAAGGAGATCAGCCCCATGGCCATCCCCAACAGCGCCGAGCTCGTCTTCATCAACAACAACCTCATCAGCAAGGTGGCAGTGAGTACCTTCCTGGGCAAGACCAGCCTCGCGCGCGTGGACATGTACTCCAACGAGCTGACCAAGCTGGACATCAACGCCATCCGCCTGTCGCCCTGGCCCGCCAACAAGACCCTCCCCGAGTTCTACCTGGGCGGCAACCCTTTCTTCTGCGACTGCTCCATGGAGTGGCTGCAGATGATCAACAACATGACCCACATGCGCCAGCACCCGCGCGTCATGGACCTGGACAACGTCATGTGCCGCATGCAGAACCTGCGCGGCCGGCAGCACATCGCGGCCACGGAGGCGCGCGCCGCCAACTTCCTGTGCACCTACGAGACGCACTGCTTCGCGCTGTGCCACTGCTGCGACTTCGACGCGTGCGACTGCGAGATGACCTGCCCGCAGAACTGCTCTTGCTACCACGACCAGGCCTGGACGACCAACGTGGTGGACTGCTCCCGCCAGGGCTCCGACCAGATCCCCCGCCGCATCCCCATGGACGCCACCGAGGTCTACCTGGACGGCAACAACCTCAAGGAGCTCCAGAACCACGTGTTCATCGGGCGCAAGAACATGCGGGTCCTGTTCGTCAACTCCAGCCGCATCGAGAGCATTCAGAACCGCACGTTCAACGGGCTGAACGCGCTCGAAATCCTGCACTTGGAGGACAACATCCTGCACGAGCTCAAGGGCTACGAGTTCGAGCACCTGGCGCACCTCCGCGAGCTGTACCTGCAGAACAACGGCATCACCCACATCGGCAACCAGACCTTCATGTCGCTGCGCTCGCTGGAGATCCTGCGCCTGGACGGCAACCGCCTGCACAGCTTCCCCGTGTGGCAGCTGTCGCTCAACTCGTACCTCGTGGAGGTGTCCCTGGGCAACAACCACTGGTCCTGCCGCTGCAAGTACCTGCAGGAGCTGCAGGCCTGGGTGGGCGACAACGCCCAGAAGGTGATCGACGCCACCGACATCTACTGCTACGTCAACGACACCAAGCCGCCGCAGAAGCGCGAGGTGGACCTGAACAACACGGCCTGCAGCGACTACTACGCCGGCAGCTCCGTCATCCAGAGCATCATGGTGTCCGACTACCTGCCCATGATGATCATCACCCTGACCGCCTTCTTGCTGCTCATCGTGGCCAGCCTGGTCATCTTCATCTTCCGCGACCCCATGCGCGTGTGGGTGTACTCCAAGTACGGCGTGCGCCTGTTCCACTTCAAGGCCGCGGCCGCGGGCAAGCTGGGCGGCGAGGACCGCGAGAAGCTGTACGACGGCTACGTCGTGTACTCCCCCAAGGACGAGGAGTTCGTCATGCAGTCCATCGTGGCGGAGCTGGAGCACGGCAACCCCAACTTCCAGCTGTGCCTGCACTACCGCGACCTGCCCCACCACTCGTACATGCCCAACACCTCCCCCGTGGTGGTCGAGGCCGCCGAGGCCTCCAGGAGGGTCATCGTGGTGCTGTCCAGGAACTTCCTCCAGACCGAGTGGTCCCGCTTCGACTTCCGCCAGGCCATGCACGAGGCCCTCAAGGGCCGCGTCTTCAAGCTGGTCCTCGTCGAGGACGGCAGCTGCATCCACGAGGCCGAGGTCGACCCCGACCTGAGGCCGTACCTCAAGACGGGCGCCAGGGTGCGCTGGGGCGAGAAGAGGTTCTGGGAGAGGCTGCGGTACGCCATGCCCTCCGGGGACCCGCACCGCAAGAGCAACTCCAACTACAGGCGGAACATCAACACCTACAGCTTGGAGTCGACGGGCGGGCCGCACCACGTCGTGAACCACCACGTGGTGAGCGACCACCACGGCTACACGCTGGAGAAGGCTGTGAAGCAGGCGCACCCCGCCATGCACATCAACAGCCACCCCTTGTTCCTGGCGGCCGCCGCCAACAACCACCACCACGACAACAACCTGGTGCCGCCCGCCTACTCGTCGGGCACCTTGACGAGCGGCCGGCACCACCCGCGGGCCGCGGACTGCGAGGACGCCAACTACTCCTCGGCGGCCACGGCCACGCCCTCGCCGCGGCCCATGAACCGGCACCAGAACGGCTCGGCGCACCGGGAGCACCGGGAGCACCGGGACGCGCACCGAGACGGGCACCGGGAGTCGCCGACGCCCAACAACAGGCCGACGTCCGAGCACATCTACTCGTCCATCGACTCGGACTACCCCACCTTCGAGCGGGCCGGCTCGAGACGGCAGCCCAACGGCGCCCCCACTCCCCCCGGAGGGGCCGGGGGCCCCGTCCTGGGCGCGGCCCCCGCTGGGGGCGTCCCCCTCCCCGGAGTGCACCGGCCCCCATGGCGGACCGCTGGAGCCAGTGTGTTGGAGAACGGGGGGGTGCAAGCCTACCTGGTTTGATGGATGTGATAGTGACCAGTGATAATAATTTCTATTTGAAATTTGTGTAAAGTGAAAAAAGTACTTCTTGTGAGAGTGTACAAAGTGAGTTCAAGTGTGTGAGTGGAGAGGGGATTGCCAGTCGGACTAGCCACACCGCAGCTCCATTCAATTAAAGGTGAGAACTTTTCCCTTCTAAAAAAGTTCCTACTGCTTAAAAGGAAAGAACGAGTTCAGAAAACAATTATATGCAGACTTCTGTGCCCAGCCAATCATCTGGTTGAGGCGTACAACTAGTTTAAAGTCATTACGAGCTTCAACTCTTGTGTCTTTTGCTTTCTTATGTGCGAAAAAAATGCATAATCTGCTTAATTTTTTTTATTGATCTAATTCCCTTTTTAAATTGTTTTGTAACCAATTGTTTTTGCTTGCAATTCCAAGTCTATTCATACTGTATTGTATACAGTCTGTTGTATGATTTTTATTGGTAATCATGGTTTATCAGGCGTTGTCCATTGTCTACAGATTTTAATTTTAGACTGGATGGATTGGACAAAAATAAGTACTGATGTCCTCTATCGTGTGCATAATTGCTCGACTGAATGGTGCGCTTGTAAGATAAATCCCTGTAAATAATGTGTAAATGCCTTGTACATGCTGTACATTTGTATAGGAGCTCTCTATGAATTGTCGTAGACAATGGACAACGCCTCGCCCTGTGTTTTTGTACCAAACTGTAGCGCGAGTTGGGCTGTACGTTGCGTTATTTGGACTGACTGATTTCGTTTTCCAAGCCATGCCTACTTAGGATGATAATCAGGCCAATGATATGTTATCGAACGAAATGCAGCCAAACGTATGTAGTCAGGTTAGTCATTGGCCACGAACGCCTCTGTTGTTAGTTAATTCCATTTACCAAAGGAGCGGCCACGCAGATTCCGCGTTTCGATATCACTTTGCCGCACGATAACAAGCCTCTAATTAACTTTCGATTTCTCGATTCTCGGAACGCGACTCTGCATTTCCATTTTTATTATTCGTTAAATTGTCAATTGCTATTTTTTTATTTTTTGTCATTTGGGCGGCGCTTTGCTAAAGAGTCGGTTGCAAACATGACGGCTGCAACTACAAATACCAGATAACAATCTGGATTGGATCAAAATTCAAAACAGTTGCGCGCGCGCCTTCAATTTAAACGCGGGCAGATACAGGGAGAGAGAGAGAGAGAGACTCGGGGAGATGAAACGGGGAGAAATATAAAAAGGAAGAATATTAAGTCGAGAATGAGGGCCGGAGAGGAAAAGAGAGAACAACAGTCCTCCCCGGCCATCTCCATGGTGCCCCGCGGCCCGGTCAGGTAGCAGTGTAGCAGCGTAGCAGCACTCAACCAAATTATTCGTTTCACATCAACAGCAGCGGCCCGGCCGAGTTGATGCGCCTTGCAGCGGCCGAGCCACGCCGAGCCGGGCCGAGCCGGGCCGAGCCGACGCAATCAGAGCGAGTGTGCGAGAGAGAGCGCCGGTCGGGTGTCTCTCTCGCACACACACTCGGCCGGCTCGGCCAGTCCATCCGGCCGCCCTAGCCACGCCTGAGGCCCTGAGGCACGCCAAATGGAGTTTATAGTTAAAGTTTTCGTCTTTCGTACCTGACCCATTTATCATTACGTATCGAGCGGGCAATCCGGGCATCGCCCCATTGTTGTGTCATCTTTTCACCCCCCGAGTCTCCCGAGTCTCTGAGGCGCTTTTCCGTAAAGGGGACATTTCGGTGTCGGCTTGGCTCCGCCCATTGTGGTCAGCGACTTCGCCAGCTGACCCGTTCCGAGAATCGAGCGGCTGCGTTCCGAGTAGCCCTGTCTCTGTCGCACCCCAATGCATTTTGAATGGGTGCGAGGGAGACAGAACGCTGCTCCCGGACGCAACCTGTCTGGTACCCATTCTGTTTTACTTTGTGGCTGCTTCTTGAAATACGTTGTGTTGACACATGTGATATGCGGTTCCCGTTCAAAGTAATGCTTTTGATATCACAAAGCTGATATCGGCTGCATATATTTTAGGGTGGACATCTTAATGTTTCGAAATTCTGGCAGAGGCGTTCGGACGGAGGGTCGTTATGTTGCCAAACAGAATTTACTTCTGTATGTTTGTGATCTAGTTTATAATGTTTATGAGTCTCCAAGTGGCTCGTTTTGTTTTGTTTGTAAGTGTTTTTGCTGCATTTCTACTTGTTTTCAGTTTTGGCACGTTTGCTTCCAAATTCCCTCTTTACTTTGATATTTGTTTGGTTCTCGTACCAAGTCTATGCCGAGCCAAAAGGACTTAAAAAGAAAGAGACTTAGGCCCTGTGCCGTTCAAAGATTGACATCAATTTGTAATATGTTCTCATTTTTGGCACTAAATTTTGTTTAAAAGTCATTGCACTGATGTTAACTACTGTTAAAATGAGTGAGGAAGGTAGCACTCGTGGATCATCTCTATGATTCACTGCAATTGATCTAGCCATAAACGCTTTTTTGTGTTAAAATGTCGTTGGGTGGATGACACAGCCACCTAGTTATGTCTAGCATCGTACAAATGTATCTTGTGTTCACCCATGAGTTAGCTTGACTAGGCGGATTTTAGTCCTTCATGAGATTGTGAAGTTGTTTTCATTGTTAAAATTCTGTGCATCCGTTCATGACATAACAGCTATCTGTGATACCTAGTACTAGTATTTATTATTGAAAATGATTTGTTTCTATTGTATTTAGTGTACATTTTTGTAAAAACAAATATTATGATATGCAAGCTATGGTTAAGAGTCTGGATCCTAATTTTTGTAACATGTACCACAGAGGATTTAATAAAATGCCGAGTGTTCACATTTTGAAATCTTTACGTTTTTATTTAACAACAGAAAAAACTCCATCCCTAAAAAGAATTACAAAAGAAATGAAGTGACAGATGATTTACAAACAGTTGAACTGAAAACTATAAGTATAAACAATAGTACTTTTCAAAAAAATATTTTAAAATGCAATAACTTAAATAAAATAATCGCAGAGCATTAAACTATTGCAACGAAGAAGAAGAGAAAGTTTAATAAAAATGCAGTACAATGCTGTAAAGTACAGTATACACGGAGCAACAAGTGTGTTGACCTATGCGCCAACACGGAGATCTAGCATTGAATCAGGCCCCACCCAACAAAGGCTGGGTGTGAAACACTAAGTAAGGGCGACCAGGCTACACAATTCCAGGAAAGAGCCGGGGCGTCATATGTCATGAGAAGAAGAAGAGAGAAGAAGACGGAGCAGCAGCCGAGAGCGACGAGGATGGGGAGAGAGCGAGGCGGAAGGCGACAGCGGGGGACAAGAAAAGAAGGAGACCACATGCAGCTCGGAGCCGTGCGGAGCCGTGCGGGCACACAACACTGTCAGACCGTTTCCCACAGAAAATGTTTCGGAGGAGTGGAGAGGCCTTGCGGGGGGAACATTTGGGAGACACACGGAATCGACGTCTGCAAGTTGGAGCATGTAGGTAACGGGGACGGGTGAAAAGAAACGCTCTGGGTTTCATCTTGGAAAATTACTAGCTCAGTGCTCGCGTGGTTTACCTGGGAAAACATCGCTGTTGAACAGGTTATGGGGACAAATTATTTATATTTTCGAGAGTAAAAGAAAGCTAATTTATTATTAAAACTGTTTTCTACCTCAACTCACAAAAGTCCGTAAAAATATCATATTCTCCCCTGGGCTAGTTTTACCTAGGTTCGGGTCGACCCCAAAAAGAGGCAGGGATTTCTCGTCCATGTATCACGAATTACGTGACACCCTATACCCAGCGGGAGGCAAACCATCACAAAGCCTTCGGCCCACATTCTCCTTCGTTTTGGTCGCCATTCTACCTTGTTTTTCTTACTTTTTTCCCCGGGAAGAGGAGGTGGGGGAGGGGGATGCTTGGCAGGGAGCGACCACCTCACAGCTGTGGCATCATTGCCCTTCTTTCTCCATAATAGTGCGAATCATGGGGGAAGTAAACGCCAGATTTGACGCCAGATCAGCACAGCGGTCCACTCCGTGCTAGGCCGACAGCAAGCGCGGGGGGAAAGTAATTGCAAAGCTCCCTATCGATACATATCTAATCATCCAACCGGCCCGCTACGTCCAAAAAGTCCGCGCTACGTCACTCTCGGGACTCAACTTTCACGGCGGCGGCGGCGCGGCGGCGCGCGGCCGAAATTTGGCCGTCGCTGGGAAAACAAGTGGGAGGGTCTGGGGTCTGAAATGCAGCAGCAGCGCCCGAAAAGGGAGGGGCGGCCCTGCGGCCCCGGCCGGCCCGGCCCGGCGCGGCTCCGGGCGATCGAACCGAACCACACGGCAGAGCCATGGCAGTGCCGTGGCAGTGGCGTGGCAGTGCCATGGGCAGCGCGCGGCACGGCGCGGCAGGTAGCCCAGTAATGGCCGCATTTCGATGCAAACGGATTAGCCATGCAGTCCGCCAGGTCGACAGACAGACAGACAGACAGACCTGTCTGGAGCAGCGGGACCCACGTGTGAAAATGTAGGCGACCGCCGCGCCGCGGAGCTGCAGTCTGTCTCTCTCGCACTCATGGGACGTCTCGGAGGGGCGCGAGAGAGACAGGGAGGCAGGCAGGACTGGGCCTGTGCACGTGTGACGGCGGTGGAGCGCGGCGGGCGCCAAACTCAAACTGCGACTCTCGCCATGGACGACAAGGGCATGCCTCTCCCCTTCGGCCCCCTTCGCGTTTAGCGTGACTGTACACTTTGGCGCCGCGTTACCAATTATTCATCCCCCACGTGCCCCTGCACTGTACACTCCAGTGGAGTGGCATCCACGTGCGAGGCCTCGTCGCGTCTTCTAGGTGGCAGTCTTCACGCGGTGCCCGTGTCATTGTCTGCCTTTTAATCATTCAAGTTATTTATGAGCGCCGCTTTTTCAGATTCAGATTCATATACAGCACCGCCCCGCCTATGGAGGTGCCCGTGGGCACTACTGCCTGTATTTCCATGCCGATGCCGCGACGGCCCCGCCAGTCTAGCTCTCTCTCTCGCACACTTACACGGCGTCCCGAGAGAGAAAGAGACAGACAGACGGACGGATGGACAGACAGACAGACAGACAGACAGACAGACAGAGCGGTCAGCCAGGCCAGGATGTCTTGGCCGTGCGTTGTGCTGTACTAATTTGATTTGCGAGCCTTTTCGCGCCACGCCGTTCGAGATATCGATCGACTTCCGGTATTTGTGCCTCGCGCAGTGAGACAGCCACGCGCCTGGGCGGCCCTGGTCGGCACTTGGCGGCACTACTACTTGCTCCGTTGGCAGTGCAGGGAAGCCCCACAGTGTGGCGGCGACGGCGACGGCGGCCATGTTGTTGTCGGGCTGGACTTCTTCTCGGCGGCCCCGTTCACCCTCGTTGTTGCACTGCAGAATAGTTGAGGGCAAAAAACTCGAAGGGCGGGCAACTCCACGTGCGCGGCTGGCGGGGCTGGCGGGGCGTGCCCCGAACTCGATATAAAACGGGAAGAATAGCTACCTCCAGCGCCTTCTCCATAAAAGTGGAAATTCATAATGCTTCAGATGGGCGAGCGAGCCGCGTTGCGCGCTGCCCCCGGCGGCCCCGGCGGCCCCTAGCTGGACGTTCTGGCGCTCTCCGGCGGGGCGGAAAATCAACCGAAAAACGGTAACACAATGGCCGAGTGTGCGCAGAACACTTTTTGCCTCCCTGTCTTGCTAACGGGTTCGCAAGGGTGTGCCGGGGCGGTGGCGCCGCCGTGACCTATCCCCTTTAAGCGGGACGCCCGGTGCGCAGGCAACCCGCTCGAGCCTGGTGGGGGTGACAGGCTTTCGCAAAAAGGAAAAGGGGGGGGGGAGGGGGACAGGCGTCGCGCAGACTAGCTAGCGCCACTGTTAGTTCACCGTCCGAGTTCGAATGCCTCGCAGAAAGAAAAGAGATCGTGTGGTTCCATCGCGGCGAGTATAGACCAGCAGGTTATTGTCGCTTCGATCATCGGGCGGGGCGGGGCGGGGCGGGGCGGGGCGCAAGTGGCGTGACACGTACTCCACTTCGGTCGCGGCGGTAAATGATTGGCGTGGTGCCGGCGTGGTGTGAATCGAGACAATCGGCGGCGACATTCGCTGCAAATGGGTATGGATCGGGACGACGGACACCGCGGACACCGCGGAGACACGCGGCCGCCGTTGCCATGGCGACGCGGGGCCGGCCGACAGTGCCCCAAAACGGGCGCCTGCAGAATGCAAATCTCGGCGCGGCCCCTGCACTGCAAGGCACTGCACTGCGAGGCGGGGAAGAAAGCGCGAGGAGGCCATACGAAAAGTGCGGTAAGAGGATGGGGACGGGAACGGGAGTGGGAGCACGCCGAGGAAAACGGGAAAACGCGACTGCCTTCGCTCGGGTCGGTCGGTCGGTCGACGCCGTCGCGGCCTTTGCTAACTTAATTTGGCGGCAAAGCACGCCGCGCGAGGCGGACGCCCTGTCGGGTGTGGCGGCGGCGCGGCGGCGTCAAGCACTTGCAGCGTATTCATGCATTCTGGCCCGATTCGGCCCCGCCCGCCCCGCCCCGCCCGCCGACACTGACGCGCCTGGAGGTGAGAGAGCCACGAGGCGCCGGGACGGGCGGATGGAGAGCGAGCGGCACGGCCCCGCGCTGCAGACATCGGTTCGTGGTTCCGACTCGCGATGAATAATGCGCCAGAGAGAGAGAGAGGGGGGGGGGAGGGAGACAAACAGGCGCAAACGGGGAAAAAATGTTGTGCAGTGCGTCGGCGTGGCAGGGCGCCAGCGCGGCGCGGCACAGCACGGCACGGCGCGGCACGCCGCAGGCCCAAAGGGGCAGCAACGCGCGAAAGAGGTTAACGCGGGGCTCCACCGGGCCGGCTTGGCCAGGGCTTCGCAAACAACGCCGAAACAGCGCGGCACTACACTTTGCCTCATTTACATATACCCCGGGAAGGCTGGCGCGCCGTGGCGGGGGCATGGCGGGGGCATGGCGGGGGCGCGCGCGCTGTTCCGGTGCATGCCCGGAGGGCCTGGCTGCGTGGCTGCCTGGCGGAGGCCGCGGAGGGCACCACCACGCTGACGGCCTGGCAGCCCGACGGCCCGGCCCCGACACCTCGCGGTCGTCGTTACAGGTTTATAAGGGGAGCGCCGTGCCGCCGTGCCGCCACTGCCGCCAGCAGAGCGGCGTTGTCCTGCGCCAGCGCCGCCACCTCCACTTCACCTGCACCCCGCCCCGCCCCGCCCCGCCCCGCCCCGCCCCGCCCCACCTGCCGCACCTCGCCGCTCCACCGCTGCTGCTGCTCGCCAGTAGAGGCGATGACTCCCCGTATACAGCAATAATAATTTGAGCTCTCGAGTCACTCTTATTCTTTTTTTATTCGTCTGCTGTCTCTCTCTCCCTCGAGCGCGGCCACCGCGCCTTCCACCACGTCCCGCCGCGCCGCCGCGCCCCGCCGCGCGGACTTGGCCGCCGCCACCATCGCCCTCCAGCAGGAAATCATCCTCCAGCTCCACTTTAAAACGCATCATGCACACTGAGCGCGCGGCGAGGGCGTGGCGGGGCGTGGCGGGGCGCGGCGGGCCGGGCCGCAGGGTGTGGTGGGGGGAACGGGTTGCGTCTGAGCTCCTCGTGGCCACTGCACTTGACCATCTGCAACGAGGGCGAGTAGATGGTGGACGCGGTGCCGCCCTGGACGGTTTTACGGCGAAAATTTGAGCTCGGCGCCGAGCCGAAGCAAACACGCGTGAGAATGTCCCGGTAGAGCACGGCCACGGCGGCGGTCATTCGGACAGGTTTGTCCACCGCCTCATGATTGGGGCGCGACGGACGGACGGACGGACGGACAGAT